ACAGTATGCATGTCAAAATACTAGAGACTAACTGCCCATGCATCATTTTATTAGAGCCTGAAAACAACCCTTTAGGGTAGATGGTATAGCTCATTCTAAAGATGAAGAAACAAGTTCTTGGAAGATGGGTACCTCACTTGATGTCAGTGCCTGGCACGGGGTTTGAATCCAGAGCCCACTGCCTCCCAACTCATCTTGCTTCCATCACAGCTCCCTGCTTCCCCAGTATGTCAAAATTGTTGTGTGTGTGCAAAACTGAGCTGAATTTACACTGATCCAATATATGTAGAGCCTGCCTTTTGGAATAACCCTGGGTACATGCTTGCTATCTTGTCAATATTCTCATTTTTAAGGTAGGGCAGAAATAACTCCAGTAAGGATTCCCTTTATCCTGGTTTACTTACACCATGATTATGGAAATTGTCATGTTCAAACAGCTAGATAAAAATCCACTAAAATGGTGAACCTCTCTCAGCCTGTTTCTTGTCTTAAATCCTTTGTTATTCTTTACACGGGACTATAAACTTTGCCCATTGTGATTATCCCGGTTCTCTTCTGAATTAAGTCCCTCTTACCACTCACCTAAGCACCATCTCAGCTGCTATACAATGCTATTTAATGTGCTTGTGCTCCACAAAATGCTAACCTCTGAGCTCTTGCAATCCATCAAGTACCTTATCTAGGACTAAATATAACTAGTATTCAACAACTCCTTGACCCTTTGGATTTGAATGACCTAAAGCAGATGCTGAACAATGTGGTTTTTTCCCATTCTTCAAGAGCAGTTCGGTATAAGACATAAGAACCTTGAGAAAGCAAGCCTAAAGGACTGGAAAAAAAAAAAGACTATCCATGAAGAACTTAGAGTGTTAAAAAAAGGGGGGGGGGGTAGGAGAAGCCAAAGTGAAGCCTCAAGAAACAAGAAGTCTGGCAAAAAGCAAATGAGAAAAAAGAAGGGCAGAGGTGGTGGAGGAGCCAGACGACAGTTATGGGTTGAAATGAAGGGGAATTCTAGAGTTAAGGTGGGTTTGGATCAGAAGCCTTCCCAAGTTTCTCAGGCTCAAGAGCCTGGGTGGCAATCTGTGGGTGGCCCACACTTAAGAACACACGAAAAAAAAACTGGACACAGACACAAGTGGTGAGAAGTGTCAAGCAGCAGGGAGTGGCGAGAGTCAATCCTAACTGCAGTCATTTGGGTACAATGTGCCCTTCAGAGAGGGCATGGTGACAACATGGGCTGATTTACAGAGCCGCCAGGGTAATAACTCAGAAAGCAATACTGCTTTTTCCCAACAAAACGAGGCAGCCCCAGAATGTTTCATGGTGGTAAAAAGCTGCATGACAGCATACTGAGGTCCCAGAACCAATGAAAGGAGACAAGTTTACCAAAACGAGTCTTGACACAGAGTACGTTTCTGGCAAATATGTTATTATGCACTCACTCTATTCAGGTCCTGGAGCAACTATTTCGTTTCCTTATATGGCCCTTCTCTTCAGCTCTCTCCTGTATAATAACTAATGTCTTCTTAGAGAAACAAAGAGAAGGAATAGAACTGTTCCACTCGTCCTCTGTTTTTTTCAGGGAAATGAGCAGAGGCACATATCACTGAGATGTCAGAGGAGAACTACCAGTTTTTTAAAATCACTTTTTAAACTTGAAATCACTTCTGCTAGAGAAAGCTGTGTTGATGCAGGAAGACAAGGGAAAATACTGCAACTGCCTATCCTGACTGCCAGAATTAAGCAGTTTCACTTTAACCAGGACATTTTTAATTCCATTAGAACTTTAACTACCACTAGAACTAAGATACAATGTGCGAGCATGGGTAGAAACATTCCCTATATGGCACACAAAATCAAAGAAAATACCAGCTGTCATGCTTAAATAAAAATCAACTTCTAATGTTACTCTTCTTAAAATTCTTCAGTTGGCCCCCCCAGTTTTCAAATAAGATCCAAATTCCTTAGCAAGACCCCGACTTCACTTCTCGGTATACTTTCCTCCCTATTCCCAAATTCTAACAGTTCATTTCCCCCTAAAAGTCATGTTCCTCTGCCTGGAAAATCCTTTCATCTTTGCCTGGCAGAACCCTACTCATCCTTCAGAGAAACTGCTTAGTTTTCTCTCCTTTGGGAAGACTTCCCCAACATCCACCCTCCCATGGGCTCTCAGAAGACCCTGTGCTCATTTACGATTGCACTTATAATGGGATGCTACAATTTCATTTTACTTCCTTGTTTCTTCTACTAGTTCCTGAGGACAACTAGTAGAAGAAACTAGGATTTCTATATAATTTCTAGGATTCTATATTCTAGTGGTCACGACAGAAGCCTGACATGATGCACAATGTTTTCATGAATAGTCAATAGTCATTTGTGAATCTTACTTTCTCTCATTAGGAAAATATACCCTCTAAAACCTTGCATAAAATAGGATAACAATCTTCCTTCCCTCTTTGACTACATTTATAGCCAGAATGGTGATTTTGAAAGAGTATAACATCTGGGTCATATCCTCGATAACATTTCAGGAAGCTGGTGGCTAATTGCATCATTTATGACATCAAGAAGGAAGCATCATTTGCAAAGCACCTACGTGTTCTGAATTTATTCTGTATATAAATTACTTCACCCTTGACAATCCATGGTAACTTGTCTGAGCTCTAGTTTGATAAAGAACCTGAGGTTTAGAAATCTGCCCATGGTCATACAGCCAGCAAGTGGTGAAGCCAGACTAATACAATGTGCAGGATCAGGACAAGATTTTCTTCTGAAGGAACTAAAAAATGAGGTTGGCTAAAACTAAGATTTCCCACAGGGCTGAAAAGTGATGAAGACAGCAAATAGCTTGTCCATCTCAGACTATGGGTATGCTATTTTAACAATATAAACTGAAAAGCAGCCTTCTTCCTGTTCAGAGTTTGAATAATTGCATACACTATTGCTGTCCTGTCAAATAACAGACTCATCAGACATTCAGTTTGAAGCACTGTTTTAAAACAACTTCTCAAATTTATTTAACTCATGTGAATAACATGGTAGGGTTTTTTTTTTTTTTAACAAAAAGAAAAAAAACAGCCAGTGCTTACTACTTACCAAGCCTCACAGATGGCTCAGAGTGTAGGCAGCATACTGGGCACAGTGATCACAGGATTTGCGTTATCCTTGCAAAGACAGAACTCCACCAGCACCAGAGGTTTCCAATTCAAAATGTGATTTTATTTGAGATCCCAATGTAATTTTTTTAAAAACGACTGGATTGTTGCTTTTTTTAATTTTCCATTACTAGTTAGAAAAATGACTAGAGGCAATGACAAAAATAACCATTTAAAAGGGATTCCTCTCCAGAAATTTTTTTGTAAAGGTTTAAGTTCAGCCTTTCCAGCCTTCTCTCTGTCCTTTTACGTTTTAAAAGGAAAGGGGTTTGGAATATGTCAACCTTTACTCAGCTTGCTCACAAAGCCTCTGTCTTCTCAAGTTGTAGACATATCGCTGGGACTCATCTCCCAAACCTCTGGTTTTAATCAAGAACATGGGGTGCCTAGCTGGAGGGGCCTGAGTGACAGTTGCTTAAAGAAGCTCCTATTAATTCAAGGTCAGTCACAAACCTAACCTTAAACAGTAGATGGCTGACTGCATCACTTACGACATACACCAGGCGAAGGTAGAAGGAGCAAGAGGCAAGTCAGACATCCCTCCTCTGTTAAGTCATGAGTCAGGCCAGCAGCTGAGCCTGTGTTCCTTTCCTTTCCTCAGAGCTCACAGTGCAAGGTCACTGCCACACCACCTCCATCCCCCAAGCTCACTGTCCAGCCATAGGGGAAGTTGCTTCCACGTTTTCACTGGAATAAATGATTTTCCACGAATAAAAAATGAAAATGTTTAGATGTACCAATGACTTGGCTCTCTCCATCTCTTCTTGGGGAACCTCTACTTTTAAGCACGTGGGGAGTTAAAATTACAGAGGAGCGAGACTGACAGACAAGGTGCTTTACCTCTTCCTCATCACCTTTCTGGAAAACTGCTGTTTCTAACATTCAGGTTCCTTGAAAAGGAGAAATTTTACTTAACTGCTGTACACTGTGTGTAAGAAGGGACTTCTCTTTTTAGCCTTCATTTCACTGTGTGGGTTTCCCTCTCTAGGTCTTGAGAGTGGGAAAGGGAGAGTGGAGAGGAGACAAAAATCACAAAGAGCAATGCACAGCACACCCTATGTCAGCAACATGACAAGTCCTCTCACATCATCAGTGCTGACTGCAGTTTCTGGTGGGGTGAATACAGCATTGCTTTCTGTTTGCGTTCTGCCTCAGGCTTTCCCCAACCACTAATTGCAGGTAAAGGTCTACAGAGGAAGAGCTTTTGAGAAAGGGCGAGAGCACAAGTAACATGCTGGTCTGGGGCCAGGTGTCAGTGTACTTTATAATGGAGGAAAGGAGGGTTACAGGCAGATTTTTGTCTCAGCCTTAGTCCAAGATTTAAAAGACTTACAGAAAATACTTTACACAGAAGGGTGGCAGTGGGGAAGGGAGGGTGGGGGAATGACAGACACACCTAGTAAAATTCAGGGATAAAAGAATACCTGCACAAGTCCATGGAATACAAAAGAACAAGGAGGATCACTTCCTGAGCCATACATGGATGGATAAGGGCAGAGGATGCGTAGGACACAGTGGATTAGCCATTAATGGCTTCAGTGATAATTCAGAAACCTGTTCCAATTTATTTTTGGAGTGAAATCTTCTCCTGGACAGGTCAAAATTGTGCTTTAAAAAATGTCATTAGAAGGTAACAGCTTTTCAAATATTCTTTTGCCTCTTGCGTCCAGGTGATTTCCTTTTTGTTGAAAACGAGAAGCCATATAAACCTTGCAGAGTGGAAGAACAGTCTTTCGACACAGGTGAGGCGAGGCGCTGGATGAACTTACACAGTAAGTGAGAGTCTGCACGTCCTGGGCTTGTCCCTTGACCACACCACATCTCTGACCTAACAGAGATGGCAGTTCACTTTCTCGCAAAGAAGCCAGTAATGGCCACTTGTCTATTGGCTTTGCCCATAGCAGCAGTTCCCTTCTTGGGGCCTTTTCGTTCCTCTTTGGGTTCCTTTTTCACAGCCATGGCAGGAGGCCTATGGATAGAGGAAGTCTTCATCTTAAGCTCTTCTTCACTATCTGTGCAGGATTCACTCTCAAAGACTTTCTCAGTCACTGGTAGAACAAGGGGAAAAACAGGATATGAATGGGTTGAGTTATTTAGAACACCGCTCTCGCAAGAGAATAAGCTGTCTGGTTCACTCCAATCCCCTCAGTCCCACTGACTGAGGGAGGTGTGCTCACCAGTCACTGCAGCTTAATACTGCTGGGAGATCAGATCCCAACTCAGGTAGGAGGCAGTATCTTGAGCTCACAGCCTTGAGCTGTGGCTCATAATCAACATTACCCCTTATTCTGTCACTGCTGTGTCCCATGACTTTAAGTGGGCCTGTGTCATTTGATTGCCCAAATCCTGCATTTGGGCCTTTGTGCTAGCTAACTGCCTGAACTCTGGATCAGAACTGTCTGCTGATCTCAAACACCTGCTTCTACCTCCATGCTTTCACTGACTTCTTCAGTCTCATCTCCCTGACCCACAGTGCTGCCATTTCCATCTTTGGTTTTCCTGCTCTTAATCTCGGTTCGACCTGTTAGTCCCTGTCCCGTCTAGCTAGGCTCACTGCCACAGTACCTCCTGGCTAGCCCTGCCCTGATGTCACGGAGGGTCTGCATGTCCTAAGTACAGAGAACTGGAGATTAGTTAGTTCCTCCCTTGTTCAGTTCTTGGTTCTCAGTGACCCAAGATTTAGTAGTGGTCTACATCATGAAGATACTATCTCAGGCAAACTCAATCAGATGACAAACTTGATAGTTTTAAGGTAAGACGATGATAAAATGAGAAAGTTACCAGTGCTTTTACTCCTTCTCAGCCAAGGGCATATTTGGCCTTTTCTCCTACCAAAAAATTCACTGAATTTTTCCCACAGGAAACTTTAAAAAAATTTACATGAGTGAGGAGTCACTATAAGAAAGCCCCACAGGGCACAGGCACAGACAATGGCTTCCAACAATGATGTTCCAGAACCGACAATGCTCTCCAGTACTGCTGCAGTGTACACGGCAACCACAAGAAACAGTACAATGCCACCCTCCTGTGACTTTAGAGAGATGCAGCAGCTGTACAACCAACATCATCTAAACCCTTTCTCAGCAAATGATGAAAAACAGAGAACCTTTTCATAGCAGAACAGAGTAACCTAATATGTATAATAAATATTCAAATGAGCAAAGTGAAAGGTATTTTTTTCCCATTAAAGAACTGTTCCTTAATAGTTTTAAGCTGTCAACTATTGATCATTTCTTTCAAATAAAATATGTCAAACTGTTCTAGAGGCATTGACTTTGGAATCAAATACACCTATGTTCTAATACCTAGTCAGTCACTTACCTAACCTCAGATTTTAATGTGTATCAGAATTATTTGAAGCCTTGTTTAAACATGGATGGCTAGGCTTTATTTCCAGAGTTTTAGATTCAGTAGGTCTGGGGTGGACCTGAGAATTTGCTTTTCTAACATGTTCCCAGGTGATGCTGATAAGCTGCTGGTCTGGGGACCACACCTTGAGAATCACTGTTTGTTGCTTCCCTGTAAAAGGTCATTTGCTACCTCAAGTACAAATACATCCAGTAATCTCTGGCAAGCTCTCTTTAATGCTATATTTTCCCCTCACAATTGGCATGCTGGAGATCAACTGGCGCTAGCAGTGGAGTATTCCTTCACCTTATCCATCTATTCTTATTAAGGCTGCATAATTAACAGTCGTCCTCCCACCCCCACCCCGCAAGAGTTCCTAGGATTTATCATTACTTTCAAGAGCCTAGAATTCACTTTGGCTGACTCCTGCCAACTTGGAGGCTAAATAAACACTAAAAAGTTTTATATATTGAGCATTCTTGGAGGCCTTAAGGCTTCCCAGACCAGAGGCATTAGCATCTCCCATGAGCTTGTTAGAAACACAGAATCTCAAGTCCTACCCCCAGGGCCTACTGAATCATAATTCAAAATGTGGCAAGATCTTCAAGTAATGTATATACTCAGCAAAACGTAAGAAATGTTGTTCTCAGATATTTAGAGAACTTCCATGGTAGGCTTATACTGCAACAATTATGATCGCAGAACATCATCCCCATCCTGATGTCAAAGTACTACATAACTGGATTTTGGAAAAAAATTATGACCTGTTACTTACTCAATATCTCAAATCAGGTAAGTCTGAAGAGCCATCTACATATACAGAAAAGACAGGACTTACTACAAAACTTGCTCCTCTATAAGCTATATTCTGTATTAAACTGGTGGCATGTCTATAATATTAAACTTCAGCATCAATTAGCTCATTATTTCATGACTAACCATTGCCTGTCTCACTGCCAATTCTGTGCAATCAATTGCTTAAAGGAGTTAAAATCAGTCAGGGCAGCATCAACAGAAATTCTTAAGCAGAACACTTGTTATAGCCCTTAAGAGCTAAAAGGAGCATTTCTATATTCAAAGCTGTAGCTACTTCAAACTACAGAACAAAGGAGATTTCAACTTAAAAATACAGGACCTTTATTTTAGTTGAACAACATGCCACTTTTCTGGGCTGCCATAAAAAAAAAAAAGGCCCAGTTTGTGGGGGTAACAGAATTCTTTTCCACTCAACTGTTTTGCTCTTATAAATCTACCCTGTCCAGAAGTCTACCCCACACATATCTCAGGGGCCCAACTCCCCAGTCCCTGCTGTGAACTTACAGAAAGGGAAAGATCAGCTTTTTAAATCCACAGAATAACTGCTATCCAGCACCGGACAGGACAAGCCCCCTGAGTTGGTATGTTTGGAACAGTCTGAGCAGAGAGGAAAGCAGAACTCTTTTGTTGGTTACAGGAGCCAAGATTCATTAAGTTGAGCTTGGAATAAAAACTTTTCAAAAAAAATGTGCTATGTGAGCACAGTTTTCATTGTTGCATCCAAGGCTCTTAATAGTCCTGTCTGGAGACAGGAGTACAAAAAAGTTCACATCCCATACCTGGCCAAAACTCGAGAACTGTGTTTTGAACAAAGCAATATGTAATTAGCCACAAATTCCCAATGAACTCTTATAAAGGTATTTTTGATGCTTTTCTTTTGGGGTAGCAGGAGGAAAAAACTAGCACTGATGCTTCTGTCCTCTTAAATTTAAAATGAAAATGAATTTAAAAATTCAACAGTAAATACATTAATTACCATTAACAGTCAAACCAAGAGACTTGAAATTCATGACTAGAAGACTGAAAGCAAAAACAAATAAAACAAGACCAAAGTCCAGAATTCATAGGCTCACAAGAAAGTTGGCGCTGCAAAGACAAAAATCTCCTGTGTAAGGAATTTTACTCCCCAAGCATATGCTACAATGAAAATGGCAGAGGCCTTTTCAGACAAGTGAGGCAGGGAACCAGAGAGGCTCAAGATCAGTGAGATGTCTTCACTAGTTTTAACCACCACACTGTTTGGAAATGTTGGTTCTTCATAGTCAATTAAACCTTTTTAAGACAAAAATGTGAACCAGAAAAGGAAAATCAAGAAAGGGAAAAAATACTTCTCTACAAGAGCTGAGGTGTGGCAAGAGCCACAGGAAAAGAGAAATGACACTTTAGGGCCATCTCACTAACAAGAGGTTGAAGCCTAAACCTACAACTCTTCACAAACACAAAAGATAGTACCAGGATTTGAACATTTCATCAGGACTCAAGTGATGACTCAAAGCCTGAATTCTATTTTCCCTCTGGATCTCTGTAAAAGGAACATGCTTTTATCTAACATGATTTATAAAACAGGAAACACAGGAAGTGATATGGAAGTCATACCCCTCTACAGAACAAATTGGACAAAATACGAAGAAGACGCCTGACACTCTCTTCAGAGTCTAATCATCTGCAGGAGCCTCTTTTCCACAGTTCAAATGTATAAAATAAACATTCAAAACAGCCCCACTTGTTTCTCAGTGTCTTTGATAATACTTAAAGTTGGTGTTGTGGTTTCCATCTTGAAAGTGTTTTTTTAAATCTATTACTTCACGTGAATTTTCACAACAATCTCACGTGTAGGCAAAATGGCTATTTTCCCCTCCATGCCACAGATCAAGAAACTCCCCAGCCAGAGATGCTGCAACTTCTATCCGAGATCTCAAGTGTATGAACCAAAGAGGAAGCAGGTCCTCTGTAGCTGCAGTGTTCCCCATACTCAGCTACTCAGTGTGGGCCACAGCCACGCAGCACAGCCCTGTGCTCTGTGAGGGGATGAGGCGCCCTGCTCTGTGAGGGGTTAAGGTGCTCTCTACGGTCATTACTCTATCCCTGCAGCCAAAATTTTTTCTTACCCATGCAGCCCTCCTCATCCATAAAGGTTTTAGATTTTAGCACACGTTTTCGTTTTCTTTTGTTTTCTCCATTGGAGCCCTAAAAGGTCACAGGAAGATCAGAGGATACAACATTAAACTAACCAATCAAGCTGTAGAAAATAACAAAAATTTTTTTCTCTTTTAACAATCACCCTCCAATATTTTATGAGCATAAACAGTTAAACAAGGTATATACAAATTTCCCTTTAGGGGACCAGCCCAACCACAGACAAGTTATGCTCATTGATACCTCATTATGAGACGAAAAGCAGCATGTTGAGCAAAGAATTGTGTTCATTCAGTCAACAAAATTTTGTTGGAGAGAGTAGGCACCATGGTTAAAAATACCAATAGGCCAATGGCCTTAGTTGGAGGAGAGAGACAAGGAAAACAGACCACTGCAGTCCACTGTGGTAAGGGCTTTAATGGAAGGCCACAGCAGATACTGGAAGTGCCCAGGGAAGGCCCCTAGACTGCAGGTCTCCAAGGCATCCACCCTTGCTGTGGACACCTGCTAGTTCAGCCTCAACACTGCAACATTATAACTGTCTAACTTAGTATCAAAAAGGTTTTACTTATACCAACTTCTTTTTCTCCCCACTGGTCTTTCACTCCATTTTCTTTTAAGCTAATGAGGAATTTAGTGCAAAATTTAAGTGACAGTGAATGAATTAAGGAAAACTAATAATCATAAAGGAAAAAAAAGCCCATCTTCTCAATCCTTCATTATTTACACTCAAAGATGCAGACAAGACCCAGCTGAAGATTACTGAAAACTATATTTCCCCATTTGCAGCCCTTTTCTAGAAGAGCAACAAACACATGTAAGTTGTTTGTTCTACTTGCAAATATAGTTTGTCTTTCACAAACTCTGCTACACTTAACTGTGCACAATGCCAAAAGAAGTTAGATGGCACAGCTGCTCTGAAACTGGAAGCCATGAAAAACTAAAGAGCCCCTAGGATTGACATCGGCTACATTCCTGAGATGATGCCCTATGGCTAAACTTGCCCTTCCTGTGAGAAGAGAGGGAATGCCCATTCTGTACCACCTACAGGAAAGCAGGATGAGACAGGAGCCAGCTACTGTCACATGTGAAGTGTAGAGCAGAGAACTAACACAGCAGAGCGGCTTCATCCTTGGGCGATAAAGGACACATCCCAGTGAAGTTTTACCTTGACAGGAGGCGGCTCCGGCTCAGTCTTCAGCACTGGTTCAGGAGAAGGAGAAGGGGGAGGTGGGGATGGTGACTCAGCTTCATAAGCTCCAGGAGAGTCTGGTATGACTGAAATAAGGGAACAAGCTTAGATAAGAGAACTACGGCAGTGTCTGGTACAATGCCCTCTCTACTGGTTCTCTACACTTCCATGTCCAGCAAAGGGTATTTTGCAAGCAGTAATTCATGACAATCCAGGACTCTGCAGTTATATATCTATCTATTAATATATAGATAACTAGACAGATATCTTTAAAATACACATTTTATCAATTTTCATACAAAGAGAATCAAAGAATCGAAAATTATTAGAGCTGACATCGTAAAACAATTATAGTCCAATTAAGAAAATTATTAGAGCTGGAATGTACCTTAGAGATCATCTTAACTAGCTTCTAATTTTATAGAAAAGTCAGGGTATGCAGTTGTTTTAAAAATATCCACTGATTATCTACCATGTGTCATCTGTTTCACTGACATTACTTCACTTTCTCCTCACAACAAACCTAAGATACAAATACTATCATTCATACATTATAAAGTTGGGTAACAGAGGTTCAGAGAGGTTGATTAGCTTGTCAGGGGCACAGAGCCTGCAACTGAGGCAGGAAGTTTTAAACCCCAGTCAGTGTGATTCCACAGCCTGACTATTTCAACTATCCCATGCTGCCTACCACTCAGGTACAGACATTTTCTTAAGATCAAGTAAGTGGAGAGAGTCCTCAGATTATACTAAGTGTGAGCACCTTTCAACTGAAGAGCTACGACTCCATTACATTTGAAACACACCAACACATCCATCATTCCTTATGCTTATGTCACTAAAAGCATACTGAAGGAGAACACCTGGGTTAATAATAAAGACTAAGGCAGACCAATATGGATCCTAACATATGAATGTGGGCAAGTTTTTAAAAAATCTCTTTGAACTTCAGTTGTATGCAGTAATAGTAACAATGATTTTGTGACTGTGACTTTAGGATTATTTGCAATCACCTGAGATGTCTGTTAGACTTAAATTTTCCAGCTGACATTGAACAGCATAAACCGTGGGGCTGTGGAATCATCTTTGAAACAATGATCACAATTATAGCTCTAACAAATAAGACTTGCTCATTAATATGATTAGCAAGAAAAGAGTACTTTAAGGAGAGAAATATCACTATGAAAGAGGTACCACCTGAAAAGAGAGCACCACCAGAGGGATCCCATCAGTTTCAAACAGTTCCAGAAACAGTGGTCTTAGTTTAAGGCCCATGAGAAGGGAAGTGAAAATCCTCAGCTGACCCATTGCTTAATCACCGCAAAGAAACTGCTGGTCAAGGGACTGGGGAGCTGCTTAGCCTCACCTGCTCCCTGAATCTCCTGGCTGTATTCAAATTCTTAGCACAAGTCTTGGATTGAAATTCTCCCAACTCATTAGGTCAGTGTTAAAAATTATGACAGTGGAGAGTTCAAGGCCAAATGACCTAAAGAGGTGAAGCAGAACAACAGCCAGAAAGAAACAATAAATTACACACTTCAAGTATGAAATGGGCCCCCAAACTTTATAAGCTCTAGGAAATAGAAACATGAAAGCAAAGTGGTCCAGCTATTAATCAGCACTGGGAGGCTAGAACACGACGGGAGCTTGAGTAAGAAAAAGTCCAGTCAAACCACCAGAACCAAGCACCCATTTTCCTGAAGGTACAGCTATTAAGAAAGCTCTGAAGCAATGAGCTACAGTGGCAGGAGAGAAGTTTATGCAGTGAGGACGCCAAAGAAAAGGAATTTTGAGTGCTCAGTCATAAATTTATGAGTTCTTATTCTGTTTCCAGTTCTGCAGCCACTTGACTTAACCAAGGAAAACACATAATCCCAGTGGCACTGTCTAATAAGACCCCTCTCACTGCACGTATGGAGCTGTTTAGAGTCCCCCTTCAGACTCTAAGCTCCATACAGGCAGAGGCACCACCATTTCCCTAGTGCTGAATATACAGTAACATTTTTAATAAAAATCATTTTCTGAACTATATTTGGGATGAGGAGCTTCCAAGTCAAGGAAGATGCAGCATATGCCTCCCTCTCCCTTTCACACATCCTCACTGAGAAACATTATAACAATAATAAAGGAAAGAAATGTTGTAAACCCCTCATAATACGGAAGAGAACATCACAGAAGCCAAGAGGTCTTAAGGAATAAGAAATTTCAACAAACCCTTGGAAGATGGAAGGTGGATGGGAAAAAGCTGACAAGAGAAGCATCAGTCAATTAGGCTGAGTATGATAGGAGAGGTTACTATTAATATGTAACACTTGTACTTTATCTGATTTTTGAAATTTTATATATGTATTACTTAAATTTTTTTAAAAATTATAATATTTTAAGAAAGGATAGGGAAAACAACTAGAATTTTCTGGGCTTACAAACATTAATCATTCATTTTTATAATAACCCCACAAAAATCACTACTACTATTTGTTTTATACAACCAAGGTTCAAAGAGATTAAAAAAAAAAACTTGCCCACATTCATATACTAGAATCCATGTCTGTCTGCCTTAGTCTCTATTACCAAGATGACCATACTCCTTCAACATATTTTTAGTGATATAAGCTATGGAATGATGGATACATTGGTGTGTTTTAAATATATCTGTAACTGCTTTTGCAGCTCTTCAGATGAAAGGTACTCAAGTAGTGAAACATCACTTATCCCAGGAAAGCACCCTTCACTGGGGCAGAATAAGAACTGTGGTAAAGATAATTGCAGGGATCTAGCAATGTAACCGCTGTTTATCAGTTTTCTGGAAGAGATGGGTAATTAGAATTCCTGGAAACCATTCATAGCTTCCTAGGAAGTTTTTTAAACTACTTATCTTAACCTTCAAAAAAGGGGTGGGGGTGGGTCATTTACTTACCATTCTCTATAAACAATTTGCAAGGACTGAAAATGGTAGCAAAGACTGAAACATACCAGTTAAAACTACTTTTTCCTAGCAATATAGATATTACTCTTAATGTTATTTCTTTCTGGGTCTGGCCTTTCTTTACTTTACAAAAAGAGTATACAGAACTGCTAACGGTGCTTATGATCCTGCCAGGGAGAAAGAGAAAGGAATACTTTCTCAGGTATACAGTTAAGAATATGAAGTTGAAGGGAATTTTCGAGAGAAGGTACTTTCAAGTATATTATTACCATTAAACGCTTACTGAATTTCAACAGGAAAAGTGGGGTGAACATTAAGAAAACTGATTATATGTTAAGTATTGTCCTGGCACTTTTGAAACAGCATTTTATTTGATGTTCATAAAAGGCCTATCTTATGTGATAACATCCTATCTTAGAGAAAACAAGGAACTGAAGAAGTTAAGTAACCTGCCTAAAGTCACACAGTCAGTAGTGGAGGTAAGATTTTAAACCCAGGTCTGTCTGACTCCAAAGTCTCTGCCATTTGCTCCACTCTTGCTGCCAACTTCTAGCTGAAGATAGCATACTGAACTAACAGCACATGTTCAGCACAGCAGAAATAAAGCAACAGTAGGTTAGAGACTGTATGAAAGTTTAAAGTAAAATCCCATTGGCTCTGAGACAAAGAAGAAATTTAGGAATAAAATGGCAATAGTTTATAAATTTAGTCAGATGCCAAAAATTATCTTTCCCAGAAAAAAAAAAAAAATCTGAGAGCCTCTGCTCTATATCATGTTATTATAGGCTGTCCACCTCCTCTTTCACATTTCTTCTCCCTTCCAGGCTAAATAACCCCACTCTTATTTCTTGTCACTTAAGAGTATCATTTTTGTGAGCTAAGGATCAGATCTATAGAGAGTATTTCAGAAGTATGTAAAGAGTGTCAATCACAGCATTACAGCTGACTCCTTCACTAATACTAGAGTATCTAGTTTATTTTTTAATGTATATTAAGGCTAATGGTTTCAAAGACTTATCTAGAATCTTCCTCAAGTTCTTTCCCTGGTTGGAATTAGGGATGACTACTCCAGTTAGCACACATTCCTAAGTTACCTCCTAAGTTATTTTCCTGTGTTGTCTGCAGAGTTGCCTCTATTTCCTCAACTCTTAACCAATCAGAATGCTCCTTGAGGGCTGTTTCATCTATACACTTTGAAATCTTCCTTTCTGTGGTCTTGGTTAAAGCATTTTGATAAATGACATGGAATGAGGATTCAGCATCCTCCCTATGTTTCACAGTCAACAAAAACCCTAAGTCCAGGGAGGAGTCAAAGGTGCAGCTCTGCCATAGACACAGTCAACTTGCTTGTACAGTTTCTTAGGTCTGTTCATTTCCTTTGTGTGACTGTCATCTATATATATAATTTGTTTCTCAACTCACTTGAGTTAATACCACCCCCCCACCCCAGTTTGGATTGCCTCTTTTACCACTTTCAGTGCTTCTTACAGTAGTTTCTGGTAAGACTGGAGTTTAACAAGTTTAGCTTTGCCCTTCAACAGCACAGCAGGTTTCTTTTTTTGCATTCATTTTTCTTTAATCTCTTAAAGTTTGTTTGCCTTTGTCTACCTTTATATGATGCTGAATCCCTTTGGATGAGAGTTCTGGCCATTTCCTAAAATGCTTTCTATGCCATGAATTCATGGAGAATCAATCATAGCAGCTCAAGCTTTTCACCACTGGTTCTCAGAGCAGGCTTTTCAGAGTTGAAGTCATATGGCATATCAGTCCAACCCAGGAGTCTTTCTCTTTGGTCTTTTTTTAAAAAAAACTTACTTGGCTGTACTGGGTCTTAGTTGTGGCACTAAGGGATCTTCATTGACATGTGCTTGAAGAATCTTAGTTGCATGTAGGATCTAGTTCCTTGACCAGGGATTGAACCTGGGCCCCATGCACTGGGAGTGCAGTCTTAACCACTGGACCATCAGAGAAGTCCCTCTTTTTTCTATATATTTTCGTTTACCCAATTTGGGACGAATACTTGAATTGGCTCTTAGACTACTTGATATTCTCTTAAAAGGCACATTAATTTTTCAGGCGAGATTCTTGCCCTTACTCTGTTCACTTATTTTATAACAGTGTCTACAACTTAAAACTAGGAAGGTCCACAGTGTCATTCCTTTTCAACAACAACAATGCAGATTGATCTTAGTGTGGTTTTACTTATGTGATACAAAACAGCACCATTATCCTTGATGCCTACAATCTCATCCATTTTATAAGACACACATGAAGGTACCCAAAGGAAGTTCAGTTCAGTCGCTCAGTCGTGTCCAACTCTTTGTGACCCCGTGAATCTCAGCACGCCAGGCCTCCCTGTCCATCACCAACTCCCGGAGTTCACTCAAACTCATGCCCATCGAGTCCGTGATGCCATTCAGCCATCTCATCCTCTGTCGTCCCCTTCTCCTCCTGTCCTCAATCCCTCCCAGCATCAGAGTCTTTTCCAATGAGTCAACTCTTCGCATGAGGTGGCCAAAGTATTGGAGTTTCAGCTTCAGCATCAGTCCTTCCAATGAACACCCAGGACTGATCTCCTTTAGGATGGACTGGCTGGATCTCCTTGCAGTCCAAGGGACTGTCAAGAGTCTTCAAGACCACAGTTCAAAAGCACCAATTCTTCAGCACTCAGCTTTCTTCACAGTCCCAACTCTCACATCCATACATGACCACTGGAAAAACCACAGCCTTGACCAGATGGACCTTTGTTGGCAAAGTAATGTCTCTGCTTTTTAATATGCCATCTAGGTTGGTCATTAACTTTCCTTCCAAGGAGTAAGCGTCTTTTAATTTCACGGCTGTAGTCACCATCCACAGTGATTTTGGAGCCCCCCCAAAATAGTCTGACACTGTTTCCACTGTCTCCCCATCTATTTGCCATGAAGTGATGGGACCAGATGCCATGATCTTAGTTCTCTGAATATTAAGCTTTAAGCGAACTTTTTCACTCTCCGCTTTCACTTTCATCAAGAGGCTTTTTAGTTCCTCTTCACTTTCTGCCATAAGGGTGGTGTCATCTGCATAGCTGAGGTTATTGATATTTCTCCTGGCAATCTTGATTCCAGCTTGTGCTTCCTCCAGCCCAGCGTTTCTCATGATGTACTCTGCATATAAGTTAAATAAGCAGGGTGACAATATACAGCCTTGACGTCCTCCTTTTCCCTATTTGGAACCAGTCTGTTGTTCCATGTCCAGTTCTAACTGTTGCTTCCTGACCTGCATACAGGTTTCTCAAGAGGCAGGTCAGGTGGTCTGGTATTCCCATCTCTTTCAGAATTTTCCACAGTTGACTGTGATCCACACAGTCAAAGGCTTTGGCGTAGTCAATAAAGCAGAAATAGATGTTTTTCTGGAACTCTCTTGCTTTTTCAATGATCCAGCAGATATTGGCAATTTGATCTCTGGTTCCTCTGCCTTTTCTAATACCAGCTTGAACATCTGGAAGTTCTTGGTTCATGTATTGCTGAAGCCTGGCTTAGAGAATTTTGAGCATTACTTTACTAGCGTGAGAGATGAGTGCAATTGTGTGGTAATTTGAGCATTCTTTGGGATTGCCTTTCTTAGGGATTGGAATGAAAACTGACCTTTTCCAGTCCTGTGGCCACTGCTGAGTTTTCCAAATTTGCTGGCATACTGAGTGCAGCACTTTCACAGCATCATCTTTCAGGATTTGAAATAGCTCAACTGGAATTCCATCACATCCACTAGCTTTGTTCGTAGTGATGCCTTCTAAGGCCCACTTGACTTCACATTCCAGGATGTCTGGCTCTAGGTGAGTGATCACACCATTGTAATTATCTGGGTTGTGAAGATCTTTTTTGTACAGTTTTTCTGTGTATTCTTGCCACCTCTTCTTAATATCTTCTGCTTCTGTTAGGTCCATACCAAACACCCAAAGGAAGAGCTCCATTTTATTTTTTAAAAAGGAAAACGTCCTTGATAATAAATATAATAATAATCCTTATTCTCCTCCTTTTTGTGTTTGCTACTTTCACAAATTACCAGAAGATTATGGTTCTTGTTAAAAGGTTAAAGTTGGTTTTGAACAGAAATAGGTACATTGTGTCTCTCAGTGCTAGGATTACTATTGTCACTGCAACCCATAATAAGCAACTTTTTAGCTTCTTGAGCTAAAGTCATCATAAGAAGAACTGATCCTTCTGTGGACGGAATATTTGTGTTCCCTCAAAATTTGTATGTTGAAGCCCAAATCCTCAGTAGTAGCAGGAAGAGGACCTTTGGGGGATAAAATGAGGACAGGATCATAATGAATGGGATTAGAGACACAAAGAAGATTTCTTTCTTTCTCTACCATGGAGAACACAGCAAGGAGGTATTCTTCTACAAATGAGGAAAAGAGCCTCTCCCAGGAATTGAATCAGCTTGTACCTTGATTTTGAACTTCTCAGCCTTCAAAACTGTAAGGAATAAAGTCCTGTGGTTTACGCCTCCCAGTCTGGTATTCTTATAATAGCATCCCAATTTGACTGAGACAATCCCACTAGCCAAAAATTAAAACTTTAAATTAAAATTTAAAATAAAAAAGTTAGCAATGCCCACCTTCATCTTCACTGCTATCAGACTCAGGAAGTTTGATTCTTCTCCTCTTTTTCTTCATGTTTTCAGTTTCTTTTGTCTCATCATCAGATAACTCCACTTGCTTCCTCCTGTTGTCATTTGGGAATAATTTAAGCATGTTACACAAAATAAAAATATAAGTATTCATATGCTACTATCGGCCTTGCTTCATAATTCATGAATTTAATTCCAGAGGGTAGAAAATAAAAGTCATAAAAGACCCAAAGGATACTCTGCTAACTGATCACACACAACTAAGTCACTTCAGAATAAAAACTTCCTCTAGCTCTCTAAAGACCACTGTAAGCTACTTACCAGGTTATTGAAAATTTCTCTAAATTCCTTACTTCCCCTACTTTTGATTCAGTCACTCAACAAGCATTATGAATGCATTCATAATTCATTCCTTACTTCAACAAGCATTATGAATGCAACAGTTGAATGATTGTTGATTCAGTCATTCAACAAGCATTAAATAAGCAGCTACTACTTACATAAAGAATTTTTGCTAAACACCCAGATGCAAAGATCAAAAAAGTACTATTGGTCTCAAAAAGCTCTGGCAGGAAAAACAGATACAAATACCACTGACTATAAAATACAGTATGATAAATTTTTCTGAACAAATAAATGTTAAGTGACATGAGTCTTATTTTAAAACTTCAAAATCTAAACAGTTTATCAGATAGAAAAGGGAGACATAATTTTAAAAAGAAAGAACAATATGAACAAAGGCACAGGCAGAAAACATTAAGGTGATTCTAACTCTAAAATCACTGTGGATAGTGACTGCAGCCATGAAATTAAAAGACGCTTGCTCCTTGGAAGAAAAGCTATGACAAACCTACAAAGTGTATTAAAAAGCAGAGACATCACTTTGCTGACAAAGGTCCATATAGTCAAAGTTATGGTTTTTTCCAATAGTCACATATGGATGTGAGAGTTGGACCATAAAGAAGGCTGAGTGCCAAAGAACTGATGCTTTCAAACTGTGGTGCTGGAGGACTCTTGAGAGTCCCTTGGACAGCAAGGAGATCAAACCAGTCAATCCTAAAGGAAATCAACCCTGAATATTCATTGGGAGGACTGATGCTGAAGCTCCAATACTTTGGCCACCTGATGCAAAGAGCCAACTCACTGGAAAAGACTGATACTGTGAAAGAGTGAAGGCAGGAGGAAAAGGGGACGACAGAGGATGAGATGGTTGGATGGCATCACCGACTCAATGGACATGAGTCTGAGCAAACTCCAGGAGGCAGTGAAGGACAGGGAAGCCTGGTGTGCTGCAGTCCATGAGGTCACAGAGTCAGACACGACTTGGCAACTGAACAGCAACAATGACATAATAAAAAAACCTAAATCCATCTTGACATTATTTAGCTCTTCTATCTGGATACTCCACCACACTATTCATTCAATCAACAATAATTTATCAAGGGCCTACTGTGTGTTACAGACACAAATAAGGACAAGACATAGTTTTTACCTTCAACCATATTTCTTACATAACAAATATCAATACATTTTTTTACCTTAAGCTAGAAAAAGAATAAACCCAAAGTAGAAGGAAAAATAAAGAGCAGAAATCAATGAAATAGAAAATTTAAAGCAGTAAAAATTATTTTTCAAGAAAACTAATAAAATTAGTAAGACTTTTACAAGATTGATAAAAAGTATATATTACCAGTACTAGGAATGAAAGAAGAGATCTGTAGCAATACCTACAGATTCTATAGATATTCAAAGAATAAGGTTATATAGATTAAGAACAATTTTAACTTAGATGAAATAAATTCTTTTAAAAACAGATTCAAGTGCTCGCTTCGGCAGCACATATACTAAAATTGGAACAACACAGAGAAGATTAGCATGGCCCCTATGCAAGGATGACATGCAAATTCGTGAAGCGTTCCATATTTTAAAAATAAATTAATTAAAAAAACACATTAAAAACTGACCACAAAAGAATAAAGATATACTTGAATAGTTCTATTTAAAGAAATCAAATTCATAATAAATATTTTCCCACAAAGAAAACTCCAAGCCTAGATCCACTGGTGAATTTTATCAAATTTTTAAGAAAAAAATAATACATATCTTACATAAACTCTTTTGGAAAACAGAGGAAGAAGAAAACTCCTCTTAACTAATCACATGAAATAAGCATAACTTTGATACTGAAATCTGGTAAAGACTACCAGCAAAGATAATATAACTGATTATACCCCCATAAACACAGATGCAAAAAATTCTTAACATTAACAAATCAAATCTATCAATATATAAAAAGGATAATACATCATGACCAAGTGGGGTTTATATCAAGAATGCAAGGTTGGTTTAAAATTTGAGAACCAGTCAGTGTAATTCACCAAATTAACAGAAACACCATACATTTACCTCAATAAATGTAGGAAAAGTATCTGTCAAAATTCAACTCATTTATAAACACCATACATTCACCTCAATAAATGTAGAAGTATCTGTCAAAATTCAACACTCATTTTATAAAACATCAAACTAGGAACAGAAGAGAACTTCCTGAATCTGGTAAAGTTCATGTATTAAAATGCCAACTCTTTGCAACACCATGGACTGTATAGTCCATGAAATTCTCCAGGCCAGAATACTGGAGTGGGTAGCCTTTCCCTTCTCCAGGGGATCTTCCCAACCCAGGGATCGAACCCAGGTCTCCCGCGTTGTAGGCGGATTCTTTACCAGCTGAACCACAAGGGAAGACCATGTGTTAAAAACACAGTTAACATCCCACTTGGTGGTGAAATGCTGAATGTGATCCTGGCAATAACCATCAATGAGTGTTGTACTCATGGTAGGAGACATTTTAACCCATCCATATCACACGTTCTGAGGAGGTGAGGCTCACTGGACAGAGCTCTGACCCTCTGCAACTTCAGCATTTTGTTTATGTTTTCTAATAGAGTAGCCACAACCTTGCTACCAAAGTCAAGTATTGCTGGGCCTATCAGTGCTGACAGTGTCCTTTAGAATTTCTTTCAACAGACTAGTTCCTACCAACTATGAGGTAGTGTCTCAAATTCCTGGATTCATTTTTAACAGCTTGTGTGCTTTTTATTTTCTTTTCTAATTACACTTTACCACTTGAAAAATAAACTCATTGATACAAAAAGAAAACAAAGAACTTTTTCTCTTAAATTTCACTGGAAACAGTAACCCCTCATTTGGCAATCTAAGGTGAAAAACAGACACAGAGACATATACTCAGGCACACTTGTGCCATGTCCACGAATATAAAATGAAGTAAAGGGGAAAAGACAATCAATTCATATCAATGGAGCCCCAAAAAACTGGCTTTGAGCTCTACATCATCCAAACTGGTTGATTCAAGTTCTGCTTCACTAGATAAGCTATGGAGCGTCTCTCTTCATTTTGGTTATACAGCTGTATCCCTAAGGCATTAAGTAGGATTTAGTACTCAACTGAAAACTGCCTGCCTGTCAATAAGCCCAAACAGACCTTTTCACCCCCAGCAGAGACACTCTTCCCTCACAAGCAACAAAATTTTCCTACCTCTTTTTTTCTTTCTGTTGCATCTTAACAGGCTCTGCTTTTTTGCTAGATTTCTTCAGGCCCACAGGGGCTGCCAGCTTTGGTTCCGTGACAGACAGTGGAGGTTGCTCCACTTTTTTTTCTTCTTTCACTTCTTGTTCTGAGTCCAAATTGACTTTAAGTTTATCTATAAATAAAGTATAGCAGATGATATATAACCCCGTCGTGCAATATTAATTTATCATTCCTTTGACAGTTTACTAGTGCCAGGTAATATATTAGGAACATGGGCTAAAGGGATGAAAAACAGTCCTCGTCCTAACAGAGCTCATGGTCTAGTCAAGAGAACATTTCTCCTTTCCAACTACCACTCTAGTTGAAACTGTTTTCATTTCTGCCTCCTGCTAATCCCTCATTATATCATAGCCCCCAGGCCAAATGATAGTAAAAGTAGGTCTTAAGAAAAAAATGAATACAAATTTATGAAGTACCAACATTCTCATTTGTTAGATGAGGAAATTAAGAGTCAGAGGGATTAAAGATGTTTCCCAAGAGTACGCAGCTTATGAATTATGACAGCAGAAAAGCATCTCCTTTTTATACTCAAAAAAATATGAAACACCTTTTTAAGCAAAGAAAGATAACAGATGACGACTTTCTAATTTGTCACCAATGCTGCAATTTTTAAAAATATATAAAACATTAAGGTGCTTGTTACTGAGACAGAATTCATATATCATGAAATTTACCCTTATAAACTGTACAATTCAGTGCTTCTTAATTCCAACACCACTATCCAATTTTAGAACATTTCATCACCTCTAAAAGAAATCCTGTACTCCACAAACCATCCCTTAACAACCACTAATAGACTTTCTGTCTCTATAGGTTTGCCTATTCTGAACCTTTTGTATACATGGAATCATATAACATGTGGCCTTTTGTGTTCAGCTTCTTTTATTTTGCCATTTTCAAGGTTCATCTATTTTGTAGCATGTATCAGTACTTCATTGCTTTTTATGGCTGAAAAATATACATCTATCACATATTGCTTATCCATTCATAAGATGATAGACCTCAGCATGATATGTTTCCACAGAGAGAGCCCTCCTCATGCACTGTGTGTACACGTGCTCAGTCGTGTCCGACTCTGTGCAACCCCATGGACTGTAGCCCGCCATGCTCCTCTGTCCATGGGATTTTCCAGGCAAGAATAATGGAATGGGTTTCCATTTCCTCCTCCAAGGAATCTTCCTGACCCAGGGATCAAACCCACATCTCTTGTATCTCCTGCACTGGCCTTATGCATTGGGCCTGAAATAATACAGTCATGCTTTCCCAGTAACCTGAAAGTAGCAAATTTTCATCATTTTTTCAGAATATAAAAATGTTTTCTTATGGCTTTTATGGAAAATAAAAAAACGATCACCCCAATCTATCCCCTAACTACCATTATGACCATCACAGAAAAGCAGATTTCTGACTAATTTTGCTTGCATAGGCACGTAACAAAAATGCTTCCCACAAAATCTTTGTAAAGCACTATGCTCCAAGAAGTGTGCCATAATTACCCTGCAACTCCTGCATTCTTCCTGGTATTCTGGCCACATACCCTCAGGGGATATGTATTTGATATGAGAAGTACGGAAATATGTGATTATTGGTTCTTTTTATTTGAAAGAAGTCTCATCCAAATATATATTTTTAAATAAAGGAGATTTGCTTTCTCAAAATGTAAACATTTATAAATGGCCATTACTACCTGGGCCCTCGTAATTCAAACCGAGGTCTAGTTCATTACTGTAAGTAATCTGCAAAAATAAGAAAGGCAAAAAATTTGTTTTTGTAGCCCCTTGGAAAACAGAGGTAAAAATGATCATACCAGGCAAACTGACAAAGCATCCAAGATATTAACACTGCACTGTTTAACCAAGCAACTTCCCTTTTACTTTAATCACTCATTTTCAAGAACCCTATGAAACAAATATTTAATTCTCTTTCCAAGTCAGGAAGTAAAATCAGAAATAAGTAAACTATCCTTCAGGAGATCTCAACCAAATCAGCTCACCCGTAAACTCCACTGTTCCAGTTGGTTATGTTCATCAATACACAGGTTTGTAGACTGCAAATTTATGTCAGGATGTAGGAAAACCACATAGTAGTGTGTTAGATGGGTAAAAACTGGACAGGTGGTCTTCACCTCAGATAAAAGGTTATTATATTAACATTCACATATTAGTCAAAGGAATGTAAGAACATGCTTACTCATAGCAGCTTTTCCAAAAAAATTGCTTATGACATTCCCTTTCCCTGGTGCCTTGGGGCCTACCGAAGATGCCTGAAAGCAAAGCAAAAGAAAACACACATGATTTTTTTTTCTGTGTTTAGGCTGTTCTTCAAGAAACAGTCCAAAATGTCAATAGTAGAACACACTGTCGTGATCATAGAGCCTCTATATTATCATGCCAAAATGTGTACAGATACTAGGTGTAAGAACAAAGCCCGACCATACAGTGTTTGGTATTCATCTCCAAAGCTTAGTTTCTCATAGTTTTTATAAAATTATTTTCCATGAATGTGTCTAAACATTTTTTTATTATATTTAAAAATTACTTACTTTGACAGAATTAAAACAGATCAGAGGCAGTACGGTACAAAACGGGGAAAAAACCCCAGAACATTACATTTGTAATCATCATAAGTGGAAGTGAATTCTGGTTCCACCACTTAACAGCAATACGACATCCAAAGTACTTAACAAGATGATCACAGAACGGAAAATGAGGATTTAAAGATCAAACTATCGGCCCAAGAATTAAATGATTTACACCAAGGTAGAAAAAACTAGAACTAAATATCAGAACCTTATATAATTAAACTACAACCACTGGAATTATTAAATGCTTTTCTAGTTACCCATTCTGAGCTGTAAAAGCACATTTTTTTATAGAAGACTTACATTCGTTACTTCTTTAGCCTCTGTTTTGGTTTCCTTATTGGCATCTTGGGCTTTAGAAGCAGCTTTAGAAGCAAACATGCCCATGATTCCTTTGGGCTGCTGGGAACTCTGTTTGGGGATAGGTGGGCCATGACCATTGGTGGTCAACTCATTACTGGCTTGTGTCTCAGGTGATACCGGAAGATCTGACTGCTCAAACGTTTCAGAAGATGAGGATTCAGCAGGGGCTCTAGGGACTGCAGCTGCACACTGGATGGCACTAAACCTGAGGAGAGAAATGTTACATTAAATTAATTGTCAATATCAAACCTTATTTTCAAACTCTTGCTTCTTCTACACAATACTTTCTAACCATAATACTATAAAATTAGGAAATTTTAGAACTAAAATGGATTTTAGAAATGAGTTTGTGCAACAAGTACTGCAGAGAGGAGAGTGAAGTCCTAGATTATACATCTTGTTGGTAATAAAACTAAGACTGAAAACAGGTATCTTCTACCAAACTATGGGTATTTTTGCTTTTTTGAAAAAAGCATCCTAATTCAAAATAGTAAGAATATACCAAACAATAAGCAAGTATTAGTAATTTCACCAACTTTGGTAAACCAAATGGTTATCTCTTATTTTTAAAGACCTCCACCTTACAGGGCTAGATATACCATAAATATTGACTGAATCAAAATTAAAGCTTTAAATATTAACAAATTTCCTGGCAACTCTCCTGACTAGAATGGATCATGCTTTAGAACACAGAATAAACTGGGAACAGAGCCACTAGCTCCTATAATCTGTGGTCCTTTATAGTCATTTGTTAATAATTTATAATAATCTCAACTAACAGCACCAGAGAAGTACGCCCATAGCCAAGTGAAAAATTTGGCACAATTTGCATGCCATATTAAAGGGAACATTCATCTCTTCCTCTGTAATCATCGTAAATGTGCCTGTTTCACAAAAATCCATAATATAGTGTTCTATGTTGTAAATGGGTAACTGATCCATCCTTCTCAAATGGCTGTACTTAAAGCAAAGTTTTCCAACAGTTCCTGACAAAGAGCAACATTTTACTTCCCTCAGTCTTTTGCTTCTTGAGGATAGGTGAGAGCTCCTTGAAGGTAAGTGTATTATTCATCTTTTGTATTTCAGGTACCTAGGACAAGACCTGGCACATACAAATACAGATTCAAAGAGAGATTATTTAAGACACGGAAAGTGAGTCTTCTGGCTTCTCTCCCTTCTTTAGTGTATCATCTCACCTTGGGATGGGAGAAGATGGAGGTTAAGAAACTACGTGATGATAGCAATTACCTTAGAAATCAACCAGGCACAACTTTGAGATTAACTGACCTAAGGGAAAAAACCTGGATAAAATCATTTAATTTCTGAAGTAACTTTAGGCTGAACAGCCCCAAGCAAGAGTTCACAGCTCCAAAAACCTTCCACTGATTTATTACAGTCTACATAGAAAAACCTCATATTAACACAAATATTTTGTGCATCAGACTCAAGAACAGACGGAAATCATTTCCTTTCACCCACCATTCTTCCTCTCTGGCCCTGCAATGCTTCCATGTACAAGGAAAGAGAGCAATGTTTTATTTCATTGTCAGCATCTAAAGTTGGCCCCAAGACAACTCTTTCTCCACTTGGTCTACATTTCCACACCTTAGGGTCAGGACCAGGAACTGGCAATGAGGAAGAGACCAAGTTAGACTGGGAACATGTCTGAAGAGAGAAGAATATGCTCAATCTAAAATTTCAGCTTTCTTCCTGTCATAGCACTTCTTAAAACACATGAAACAATGAGTCAGATCTCAGTTGACCCATAATTATCAGGACCAAATACAAACTTCTTTATTGGAAATAAATTCTTTACATTTCTTTTTTATTTATTATTTTCTTCACATTTCTACTGAGGATATTTTAAGTATTTAAGTAAAGTTTCACTGAAGTGCTTCCTACTATCACATTTCTACTTGCCATGTTTATTTTAGTGGTCTCTATGCAAATTTGATTTTGGACTTTTCTGTCACTTTTATATTAGTTTCCTTACTTGCTAGATACAATAGAATTGATTTTTAGAGCTTGACATGCCAAAACTAGATTTTAATAGATTATTTTTGAAATCTAACAGATTACATAAACATATCAGGGTGTTTATGTTTTCTTATAATCCTTCTCTAAAAGACACCAGACATAAATTACTCTTTAGCAGTATAATTGTATTTATTTATCTAATAAATATTTGCATGCCTATTACATTCAAGGTTTTAAGCAGAAAAAAAAAAGAGCCGATGTCTACCATTAATTCACTCAACAATCACTTATTTAATAGTTATCAGGCACCATTTTAGGCATACAGTGGTTAACAAAATAGATGATCCCTATTCTCATGGAACTTACAGAAATTATTTTTGGCAATTCTATATCTACCTGGATATAGACCCAACTGTATCAGTTAATCCATCTCTGCCAGTATCTTCAACCATTTCTTCTTTTTATGGCTCTTTACTAATAATACAAGTTCAAGGCATTCTCAACTTTAAAAATGGATACATTTCCCCCACCCCCCAAGTCTCAATTCCTCTGTAGCAGGTAACCTCTCTTTTTCCTGTTTTACCATTAAATTTCCTAGAAAGTTGTCCCTATTTGCTCTCTCACTTCCTTATATCCCCATCTACCCAGGTGACCAGAATCTGGCCACGCCACTGAAACTGCTCTTACTGAGGCCATCACTTTTCAGTTCCTATTACATCCCCCTCCTCAACAAGGTCTGATACTATCAGCTAGTCCCTCCTTCTTGAGACTGTCTTCTTAAATTTTTAGAACTCCATACACTTGTGACTTTCCTCTTATCTCTGGCTGCTCCCGCTTAGGTCCCTCTTTTTCTGTCCACCCCTTGCTGCTGCTGCTGCTGCTAAGTCGCTTTCAGTCATGTCTGACTCTGTGCGACCCCACAGACGGCAGCCCACCAGGCTCCCCCGTCCCTGGGATTCTCAAGGCAAGACCCCTTAAAAAATAGCTATTACTTAAATAGCGCTTACTGTGTGCTAAGCATTGTTCTAAGCACTTTACATGTATTTATTCACTTAATCCTTTACAACCCTGTTAGTCACTCAGTCGTGTCTGACTCTTTGTGACCCCAGGACTGTAGCCCACCAGGCTCCTCTGTCCATGAATTTCCCAGGCAAGAATACTGGAGAGGGTTGCCATTTCTTTCTCCAGGGGATCTTCCCAACCCAGGGATCAAACCCAGTCTCCTGCATTGCAGGTAGATTATTTCCTGTCTGAGCCACCAGGGAAGCCCCTACAACCCTGAGGTTGATACTATTATTAGTTTCATTTCAGGAAAATGAAGCAGAAAGGTTAAATAATTTGCCCAAGGTTACACAGATACTAACTGTGGCAAGAGTTTAACTTTCTGCTCTTCTTTCATCCTATACATTCTCTCTGCATGACTGTATCTACTGCTGTAGCCCATTACCTATTTTCTCTGATTCCAAAATGTCTTATCTTTACCTCCTATTTCTCTCCTTAGCTCTAGACCCCCGTATCTATTGCACTGGACATCTCCACTTGGACTCCCCATCTGGTACTCAAACTCAACATATCCAAACCCAATTCATCACTTTTCCCTTCTCCCAAAGCTTACTCCTTTTCATATATTCCCATTCTTAGTGATGGTATCATCACCCATCCAGCAATTCAAACCAGAAACATGGCCATCATCCTTAATGTCATGAACCGCCCTCCTATCTCCACCATAACACACTCTCTTGGTCCCTAACCACTACCATACCATCCAGGTTTTGATGGTATGACTCTATAACCCATGTACCTCTCCATTCCCAATACCAATTCTATACTTCAGATACTATCATTTCTACCCTGAATCACTGCAACATTTCTCCTTCATAATGGACTTGTGTGCAGATTATTTCTGTCTGATCCACTTTCACCATCACAGCCAGAGTGATCTTTCTGTAATACAATTCTGATCATCTCAATCATCTGCTTCAAAATCTTCAGTGGCTCCCCTGTGCAATAAAGCCTAAACTTATCCTAGTAGTCAAAGCATAGAGTCTGACTCCTTGTATTATTATTTCCTGCCCCTCACTCTAGTTTTCAGGTATAGAAAACTACAGTGGTTCTGCATAAGCATCGTGTTTCCTCTCGACCCTGTCTTTCCTCTCCCACTTCCCTCTGACTGGCTACTTCTACTAGGCCTTTAAGCCTCAACTTAGATGCCATATCCTTCTACAAGCCATCTCTGTCTTGACTCCCCAACAAAAAAGGAGGGGACAAGTGGCCCCTCAACATCCTCCTACACTCTCATTCCTATTGTAGCACCGTCGCTCTATACCATAACTGCCTCCCGTAAGACCATCGGTTCCATAAGCAGGTACCAGGCTACAGTCACTCTACAGTATGTGGCATGTCACACGTACTCATCAGATCTTTGCTGAATTCAAATTATCTTGCTTAGTGCATGTCAAAGTAGTAGGTGTTCAATACATGTCTGAGAATCTGCTCCGAACCCTCCATACCACCTCACAAAGTAGGCATTATTATATCCAATTTTAAAATGAGGAAACAAAAGCCCAAAAGAGTTTAAGTAACTTGTCCAAAGCCACTGGGCCATTAGCAATGAAGTCAAGACTCCAGCCCATGACCACTAATTTCCAGAACCACGTATATTATAGTCCACCTCCTCCCCACGCTGTGAAGGATACAAAAGATGAATAAGATCTGATGCTGGCTGTGGAAGATCAACTGATTTTGGATGGAAGGCAGAAGGATGTCAAATTAGGAATAGTTTTTTGAAGGACAACATGTCAATTGGTTCTTGAAGGGTGGGTAGAAATTAGACAAGCAGAGACTTGGGTAAAGGAGTAATGAGGGGGCACGACAAACAACATTTCTGGTGGCAGTGACAGGATAAATACATGAGAAGTAGATTTATGGGGAGTCTACTGGGGTTTTCAATATGGGTTGTGGCTATTTTTCACCTTATGATGTACTAATAAAACCAGGCATGTGTCTTACTGCAAGATAAATGAGGTTTTACTAGACTTGGCGTTCACTCTTAAGAGGCAGCCACTGTGTAAACATCTTACAAAATCAATTCGTAAAGAAGCCCACAAGGAACATTAAGGAGCTCACTTGCTGCAGTTCTGCAAGTTGCTTTTAAGGATGTCATAGTCGGTATTGAACAGAGGCCCACTGTCCTTTAGCATGGCTTTCTGGATGCTGTACACATGTACGCTGGCAGTCACCGCTAGCTTGGACTTCACTGCTACAAGTCAACAGGAAAAGCAGTCTGTTAATACACAAACTTCATAGCATGTGGGGATTTTAACAAGAAACCCTTCTGCATTAACACCATTTGTAATCGGTGGTGGTCCAAAAAAGCTCTAAAAGGCCAAACAGTCATATATACAGTATAGTAGCAACTCTTCTGTCTGTGACAAGGACATTATGATAGGTAGGTGATGGTGAGTCAGTTCTCAGTACAGTACTGTGAGGGTATCACTCATCCAGTGGACACTCAGTAAATATTAATGAATAACTGATGATACTATGATGTGTTTTGTTTTTTTTTCAGTCAGGGTAGAATCTTATACTCTAGCATATATACATACCAACTGAGGAATAAGTAATTTCTACCCAAGAAGTCTTCAATTTTAGTTTATAAAAAGAAACTCTATATAACAATACTACTACTAATCAAATAAGTCTTCAGAGGAAAATCACAAGAACAAATTATAGGTTCCATGAAGGAAGGGACCATGCCTCACTTGTTCCAAGTCCCTAGTGACTAGCATAGAGCTTGACATAAAGTAGATACTTACTATGTATCTACTGAATGAATAAATCTACCACTGTGGGAATTCAGAAAGAAAATACTGGACATCTTCACTATCTTGAATAATTCAGTTAATGTATAAGAAAACACTCCAGTGGTAGGCATCTTTATATACAAAGTATGACAGTGGGTTTTGTCTTGAGACATCCAAGATCATGTGGATGTTTCAAAATTCCTTTGACTTGGGTATTAAAAAAATAGAACAGTAGCATTAACAGTCTTGAAATGGGTAGACAAATTTAACTTCAAGTTATACTATGCCTTTCTGACTTTATAAAACCATTCTTTAATTTTCTTCCTAAAAATATTGCTATGGAATACAACACAATATTTAGAGATCGTTATCTTTTTATAGTTAATGAGGTGTTCCATATGATATTCATAAGTGTTTTACATATCTATCACAAGTTTTGAAATTCTGTGATAAAAGTGCTTTACAAATGTTAGCAGCTATTGGCCTTAAAAATGGGAAGTTAGTGAAGTATCATATTTTAACATGTTTCATAAACTACTAATAAAAGAATATATGGCTCTCCAGTAAAACAGCTAAATATATATGTGATGTTAATGACACTGATGCCCTAAGAGGAAAAACTTGCTAAATCACTAAAATACTTACCTTCCAATTTATCTTCTCTCACTACTGCAACCTTGTGGCACTGTAAGGAAATAACACTTCATTAGTATTTAAGTATTAATAGTGCAACTTGCAGTTTTAAAGGTTCCTTACCAATAATTCAACTGCACTGGGATGTAAAATTAGAAACCTTAGGTTCCTATGAAAATATATGTTCCAGACTCATTTTTAACTTGTTTTCTTTAAAATTTCTCAATCAGGTTAAGGAAAGTGAGAGAGATATCAATAACAAAAACAAAAAAACCCCCAAAAACCCAAATTAAAAAAATACAGCATCTCAAACTTGCACTTTGCCTATTGCAAGGAAAAGAGGAATTTTCAGTAAGTAACATAATGAGTATTACTGTATAATCATATGGAACCACTTAAAAATTGGATGTCTCATACCATACAAAAAAATAAATTATAAATGGATCAGAGATCTAAAAGTAAAGAATTAAACCATATATGCATAAGAAGAAAATATGGGTGAATTCTTCTACAAACTAATATAACCTGAGAATAAAGAAAAGTTTCTTGACTGCAATTCAAAACCCAGAAGTAACTGAAATAATCCATAAAAACTAACAAATCATTTTTGGATAACAAAAAGCCAACAATTTTAAGTAAAAAGACAAATGGTCAAATGGGGAAAATATCTACAACTTACATCACAAAGGGCTAACACATAGCTTCTAAAATAGAGAAAACAAAGACTAATAATCCTTTAGAAAATAGGCAAGAAGTATGAAGACACAGTTCATAAAAGAGAAATGCAGATGATCCTGAACAGGACATGTGCTGTGTAGGAACAGGTGCTCTCATACATTGCTGGTAGGAATGGAAAATGGAGAGTATTCGGCAATATTCAGCAAAGTTCATATATAGCCTACCTCTAGGAACATAATCCTAAAACACTCTGGCAAAAACATACAAAACACATACACATTGAGCTATTTACTGTGGCACTATATGTAATAATCAGATTGTAAATAACTCAAATAACTATCAATAAGGGACTGCTGAATAAACTAAGGTATATCCATCAATGTAGGATCATGTGGCTGTAATGAGGAATGAGAAATTTCACTATAACTGCCAGAGTAATGCTTGGGATCACTTACAAACCTTAAATGCCTTTAGTCATCATATTGTTAGTAAAATTATTGGTTTTGCCTTTCTAAATCTCATGTATCTGGCTAAAGCAAATACATATTCATTTTAATGTTAGGACAACCAAAGTTTACAACATAAGGAAAAAAAGAGTAATATAAAATTGAGTAAGTTTTTTAAAAATGTAATTGTAAATATGAACTGAGAATATTGGTATGTCTTCATAATGCATTTTCTCTTTAAAAAAAACAAGCATTCTTAAAAATGTCATGTTCTGCAAAATTGTACAATAAAAACTACAGAGCTTATGAGAAAAAGAGCAGTAGGAACTAATCACTCAAACGTATATAACAGGAGCCCTAAAAACAATAATTGGTACCCTCAGGAGAAAACATGGCAGCTGAGACAGTTTAGTATCTCTAAAGGATGCCTTAGGGGATATTAGAAATGCATAAAAACAACACAGTGGAAATGCCAGTGCTAAAACAATGTAAATGAGAGTAGAGCTCTGATTCAGTGGGTTCCTGTTAAGGGCAACACATGAGTAAGTTCAGCATCCATAAACCCAGACCCTGGCTTGGGGCAGGCGCCTTGAGCTGTTTATCAAAAAAAAAAAAAAACTGGGGAAAATATGGCTAGTTGATGAGAGATAGTTCTTCTTTATAGAAACATTCCAGCCAGTAAATCCAGAAGGAATGACAGAATTAGAACATCACCATTTTGTAACTCCTAGAGAAATAATGATCAAGGTAATGATAAAAATCAACCTCAGCCAAAATCATTACATGAAAAGCTAATGGGGAACCTAATTAAAAATGGATCAGGCCAACAACCTCTAACATCACAAAAAGAATCAACCAATCATTTCCTTGAAACATTCAAATAATGCTTTGGCAGACTTTGCAGGATGAGATTAGAAGGAGATTTCTACTTTCTATGTATTATTAAGCAATTTTTACAATAATAATAATCACTGGAAAAATAAAAATTACTTACCTGTTTAAAAAGCCATAGAAAACCTACGCATCAAAAAAAAAAAAGGAAACCTACGCATCTTTGAATCAGGTCTGCTTAATCTTGTTTCTGATATATAATGACATCTGATTTCATCTACACTTGTAAATATCTAATTAACATCTGGCTTGCCAAACAGTTTACCAACAAGGAAAGAATACGCTAGTCATAGAATATAAGTATCTGATAGCCCTTCAGTTCAGTTCAGTTCAGTCGCTCAGTCGTGTCCAACTCTTTGCGACCCCATGAGCTGCAGCACGCCAGGCCTCTCTGTCCATCACCAACTCCCAGAGCCTACCCAAACTCATGTCCATTGAGTTGGTGATAACATCCAACCATTTTATCCTCTGTCGTTCCCTTTTCCTCCTGCCCTCAATTTTTCCCATCATCAGGGTCTTTTCAAATGAGTCAGCTCTTCGCATTAGGTGGCCAAAGTATTAGAGTTTCAGCTTCAACATGTCCTTCCAATGAACACCCAGGACTGATTTCCTTTAGGATGGACTGGTTCGATCTCCTTGCAGTCCAAGGGACTCTCAAGAGTCTTCTCCAACACACTTCAAAAGCATCAGTTCTTCGGCGTTCAGCTTTCTTTCCAGTACAACTCTCACATCCATACATGACTACTGGAAAAACCATAGCCTTGACTAGACAGACCTTTGTTGGCAAAGTAATGTCTCTGCTTTTTAATATACTGTCTAGGTTGGTCATAACTTTCCTTCCAAGGAGTAAGCATCTTTTAATTTCACGGCTGCAGTCACCATCTGCAGTGATTTTGGACCCCCAAAAATAAAGTCTATCACTGTTTCCATTGTTTCCCCATCTATTTGCCATGAAGTGATGGGACCAGATGCCATGATCTTAGTTTTCTGAATGTTGAACTTTAAGCTAACTTTTTCACTCTCCTCTTTCACTTTCATCAAGAGGCTCTTTAGTTCTTTTTCACTTTCTGTCATAAGGGTGGTGTCATCTGTATATCTGAGGTTATTGATATTTCTCCTGGCAATCTTGATTCCAGCTTGTGCTTCCTCCAGCCCAGCGTTTCTCATGATGTACTCTGCATATAAGTTAAATAAGCAGGGTGACAATATACAGCCTTGACGTCCTCCTTTTCCCTATTTGGAACCAGTCTGTTGTTCCATGTCCAGTTCTAACTGTTGCTTCCTGACCTGCATACAGGTTTCTCAAGAGGCAGGTCAGGTGGTCTGGTATTCCCATCTCTTTCAGAATTTTCCACAGTTGACTGTGATTCACACAGTCAAAGGCTTTGGCATAGTCAATAAAGCAGAAATAGATGTTTTTCTAGAACTCTCTTGCTTTTTTGATAACCCAGCAGATGTTGGCAATTTGATCTCTGGTTCCTCTGCCTTTTCTAATATCAGCTTGAACATCTGGAAGTTCATGGTTCACGTATTGCTGAAGCCTGGCTTGGAGAAATTTGACCATTACTTTACTAGCATGTGAAATAAGTGCAACTGTGTGGTAGCTTACGCATTATTTGGCATTGCCTTTCTTAGGGATTGGAATGAAAACTGACCTTTTCCAGTCCTGTGGCCACTGTTGAGTTTTCCAAATTTGCTGGCATATTGAGTGCAACACTTTCATAGCATCATCTTTTAGGATTTGAAATAGCTCAACTGGGATGCCATCACCTCCACTCACTTTGTTTGTAGTGATACTTCCTAAGGCCCACTTGACTTCACATTCCAGGATGTCTGGCTCTAGGTAAGTGATCACACCATCGTGATTAACTGGGGCGTTAAGATCTTTTTTGTACAGTTCTTCTGTGTATTCTTGCCACCTCTTCTTAATATCTTCTGCTCTGTCAGGTCCATACCATTTCTGTCCTTTATTGAGCCCATCTTCACATGAAATGTTCCCTGGTATCTCTAATTTTCTTGAAGAGATCTCTAGTCTTTCCCATTCTATTGTTTTCCTCTATTTCTTTGCATTGATCATAGTTCTGTTTCTCCTTATAAATTACTAAATTGCCATTCCAGTCTGGAATCTCACACTCTTAAGACTCTATTGATACAAGACAAATCCATTAAGTATTTTGATAAATCTGGCTTCTGAACTTACGTGTCACAGGGAAAGTCAAAAGAGAAGAGGAAAACATGCATCAGTGATTCTCTGAGGATCTTGATCCTTGGGCTAAATTCTCTAGGGCTGGTGGTATGGGATCAAAAGAGCCTTCAGGTGAGGTTCAGGAAGTGAGAACCGAAAAGGTGTTCCTCAGTTTGAGGAGAAAGCGAGAAAGAAGGAATTAAGTTCCCAAGAATCAGTCCAGTACAGGAGAAGGAATGGAGTTATTTCAGCAGAGCTTCTGGGGTGAAAGCTCAAATTAAAATCAAGTTCACTTAAAAAAAAAATTGTACTTGCGGAACACCTGTGTGGCTTAACATTTGAACAGGCTGGAAATTAACCACCATTGTCCCCAGTATGGCTTCAAAAGGAAGAAAGCGGAACAGAAGCAGTCTGGAATGTCTTATTGCCTAGGGAAATTGTACAGTGATGATAATAGTCTCTGTATTGATATTACCCAAACTTCCCAACAGTTTAGTCTAAAGTTTAGGTTTAGCCTAAAAATTCAAAATAATCACTGTCTTCAAGTAGCTTTCTAAAATTTCCATAATACTGGGATCTTGTTGTTTTTGCTCTGTGTTATGTTACATAACACTATTAATAGCTCAAACACATTTAAACTCATTATAAGATTCTGAGAACTTACAGAATGTCCATTCTGAATGAGACTGCCAGACACTAAATAGGTGACATGCAGTTGGGCTCCTGAATTTTCCTTTCGCTTCCTTTCAACGTAATCATAGAGCATCCTGTTACAGACAAAATGCACAAGTAAGTCATTAGTAAAAGTTTACCTCACCAACTCTTAATTCATGACTTAAAAGTTAGGTATAGTAAATCTGATAGTCCATCAAACATTATACAGAATATTTTTGCTCTGTTCATGGACAAAAAATTTAAAAAAGATGAATGGAACATAGAGGGTGGGGTCAACTTGTATACAGCCAGCACAGTGACCAAACAACTGAAATAAATCTAATAATCAGTCAAGTGAGACTGAGCCTGAATTAAAAGAAGGCATGTAATGGCTAGAATAATCAATCAAGAATACATTCAGTTACTATCTAGACATGTGACCCTGGATAAAATAGTTTTTCTAGGCCTCTTTATATCCTGAGGTATAATTACAGAGGGCTGTATGAGATTGGCAGTTCTTTTACCCTGGGATCCATAACCCTTCACCCCTCAATATTGTAAGCAAAATATGTGTTTTGCAAGGGGAAGGAGGTGGGGAGAAGGTGGAGATAGTTCAAGGTTTTCAACAGATTTGCAGAAGGATTACTCCAAAACATTTAAGAACCATCTTATAGATGATCACAATGGTCCGGCTCTGAAATTCCAATTTTAAGATCATTCAGAATCAATGTTGTTTCAAAACCACAAAGTAACAGGTTAACAAATACTGGGCAGTGTGAGTAAACTAAGACTGCCAAATATTCAATATAGAAATAATGTTGCTTTTAAAAGTAACATTCCCTAAATCCGTTTTTATCCTTGCGATCTCATTAGCATCAGAAGCTGACTCCCCTCAATAACTTACAGTTTAACATCAAGGAAACAGACATCATTTGTGTTGTTTATTTCAAGAAACTTTTACCAAGCCTCTATATGTCATACTTCTGCCAAGGATGGCTAGAAACAAAAGTTCCAAGGAAAACTCAACCTATACTGTGGACTACTCTCTTAGCTTCCTTGATCCAATGCCTCACTCATCTCCTGCCACTCTTGAACTGGCTCTGCTCTACTTCCTGCACAGACTTGACTTCCTCCTCCTCTTCTGTACTGCTGGGGTTGTCTTCAGCTACCTTTTCACTCTGTATTAGAATGACCAATCATCTGGGTTTGCCTGGATCTGAGGTATTTCCTCACATGGATTTTAGTGCTAAAACCAACAGTCTTGGGCACACCAAGGATGACTGGTCACCTTACAACATACTTTCTTTGACCCACTTCATTCACCCTCCTGGCTTCATTTATTCCCAACAGCATCATCATCTGCTCAAACCATCCAAGCCAGAAATCTGGGAGTCATTATCCCTCACTTCTCCCAGTCTGGTGACGTGCCAAATCTTGTCAATTTTACCTCCCAAGTAATTCTTGACTCCCTGCCCTCCAAATCTCTTGACTGGACCATTTCAATTCCAAGGGTCAATGTCTTCCTCACACCCCCTTCCCACTCATTATTCACAAGGCTGCCAAGGTGAAGTTTTAGAAATGCAAATCAAGACTGTCAACAAAAGTTAACTGGGTGGCTACCTCATGCTCTATGCCTTGGGGATAGAATAGTGAAAAAAGCAGTCAAAGTTCTTACCCATTTAGAATTTGTACTGCAGAAAAGAGAGACAAATAATAAATAAGAAGTCAGATGGTAGTAAATCTATAGGGAGAAAAAAAGACTAGAAGAATAGAGTGTCTAAGAAGTTCTGCTATTTATATAAGATTAGGGAAGGCCTCATGAACAGAGCCCTGCGGGAAGTTACAGAGCCACCAATGTGGGTATCTCAGCAAAGAATGTTCTAGGCAGAAAAAACAACAAATCTGAGGTTCTGAGGCAAGGAACAGAAAAGGTGAGTGTGCTGAATAACGAAGAAGGAAAGAAGAGAGCCAAGTGCGAGACATGTAGGGCTTTGTGGCCCACTAGGAAGGAAGTCATTAGAAGGATTAGAGCACAAATAACATGATCTCACTTTTTAGGAGGATTTCTGACTGCTGTGTGGAGAATATACTATTAAGGAGCAAGGAAGGAAGCAGGAGACCAGTTACAAGGCTACTGCAATAATTCAGGCGAGAGATGATGGTGGCTCAGACTAGGGTGGTACTAATTAGTGGATGAATTCTGGGTACATCTTAAAGGAAGAAACAACAGGATTTGCTGATGGACTGATTGTGAGGTATGAGAGAAAGAGAAATCAAGGATGACCGGACTAAGTAAGAATGAAGTTGTCATTCACTGAGATGGAGAAAAGCAGAAGGAGGTGATGGTGGGGGGTGGGTGGAGAATAATTAGGAATTAAGTTTTGGGGCATGTTAAATCTGAGATGCCCATTAGCCATTAACTACTGTTGAAAAGGTAGCTGGTTATTCTTATCTGAAGTATTACTCTTTGTTCAAAAGTTTTCAGTAGCGCCCTATCCCCTAAGGAGCCACAGTTCCATCAGTGACATGTAAGACTTTTCTTCTTCTGGCCCCTGTATTTCTCACCATTCTCCCATACTCACACTATTTTCAGCCTTATGAAACATTCTGCAGTTCTCCTAGCTCTTTTGTATGCCCTTCCTTCTGCCTAGAATGTTCTTCTCAGACCTCATCAACCTAATTCCTCATCAAGACAACAGCTCAGTTATTATCTCCTATGTGAAGCCTTCCCTAACACCACTAAGTGAGCAGGGCAGCCTTGCCTTCTAAGTTCTAACAGGAACTATCCCACATCTGTTATTATAGCACTTACCACACTGTATTCTAATTGTTTATGTATCTGCCATCCCCACTAGACTATAAACACCCTGAGGAGGAAAAAAACCAGCATTTTTGTTGATTCCTCTCTCCTGTTCTCTTTAGTATTTCCTTCCATGCAGCAGTTATGTTAGAAAAGATGAGGGACACAGAGTCATGAACATTTTGGTTTAATTATGCCAGTTAGGACCAGACTAGCAGAAGAGATGGTAGGCAGGGACTACACCAAGATGCTCTCAGCTTGCTGGTGAAGTGCACTGTCTTTTATCAACAGCTCACAGTCCTGCTTGCACTGTTACAGTCATTGTCCTCTGTGCACCCATCTCACCAGATCCACCAGTTCTGTTTTATATTAACAAGATGGTCAACACTGCACAAACTCTTTAAAATTTTCTAAATGTCTTCTGAATCTCTGAAACATGTTCATCTAATTTGATTATGTCAAACATCTCAGCAACAAAACATGCAAGACAATAAATATGACTTCCTACAAGATGCACTTCCTACCCACATGATTAACTATACACCTCCTCATCCCTCCTGATCAGTTTCACCCACAATTTTCCCTAAGATATATAAGGTGTATAGTCTCTATTATCTTCCCTAATCTAATTCCTTCACAGCATTTTTATAGCCTGAAATTATCTTAAGTCAATGATGGGAAAGACCTTGTCTGTCAAGTTCGCTGTTTTATAACACAGCCTAGAATAATGCTAAAAATGTAGTAAAACCTGAAAAAATATTTCTTTACTGAATCCAGGCAAACTGTAACAACCATGCCCAGTCACTGCCCTCAGTGCCAACAATGATAATTTAAATGCTTTCACTACAGATAAGAGAAAAAAGGATGACAGGACACTCTAAGTCTCTGTTTTCTCATGTGTTAAAAGAGATTGATAACACCCATTATATAGGATTGTTATAAAGATTACATGAGATAAACATATGTGAAAATATCTACCATAGTGCCCAGAACTCACTCAACAAATATTCACTGGCACCTATTATGAGCTGGGAAAGATGGAAGGCAAAAGGAGAAGGGTGTGGCAGATGATGAGATGGTTAGATAGCATCACTGACCCAACAGACAAGATCTGAACAAATTCTGGGAGATGGTGGAGGACAGAGAAGCCTGGTGTGCTGCTATCCATGGGGATGCAAAGAGTTGGACATGACTTAGTGACTGAACAACAATATTATGAGCCAGGTGTGAAGATATAATGATTGTGGCAGACTGTATTTTCCAAAGATGGCTGCCACAACATCTCCCATCCTGCATGCTCTTCTTCATCTTCCCATAGACGGGTGGAGTCATCCTCGCCCCTTGAATCTGGGAAGGCTAGAGATTCATTGTAACCAAAAAAATGAAGCAGACAGGACACTGCTTGACTTCTGAGGCATAAGAAAAGGCAATCAGCTGCTGCCTTCCACTGGAGCGTGAGTTTTTAAGAGCTGTGAATTGCTGGGTAAGAAGCCCAGGCCATATAAACAGGTCACACACAACGACTGGTCAACAGCCCCTGCTGAAGTCCCAGCTGACAGCCAGCCAACAACTGCCAGACATGAGAATAAAGATGGCTACACATGATCAGGCTTCAGTCACTGACGCCTCTCAGCTGAGGCACCAGACATCATGGAACAGAGCCAACCATTCTCATTGCACCATGCCCAAGTTCTAAATCAGAAGAATCTATGAACATAATAAAACAGCTGTTTCGAGGAATCAACCTGCCTGACTTCAGACTATACTACAAAGCCACAGTCATCAAGACAGTATGGTACTGGCACAAAGACAGAAATATAGATCAATGGAACAGAATAGAAAGCCCAGAGATAAATCCACGGACCTATGGTCACCTTATCTTTGACAAAGGAGGCAAGGATATACAATGGAGAAAAGACAACCTCTTTAACAAGTGGTGCTGGGAAAACTGGTCAACCACCTGTAAAAGAATGAAACTAGAACACTTGCTAACACCATACACAAAAATAAACTCAAAATGGATTAAAGATCTAAACGTAAGACCAGAAACTATAAAACTCCTAGAGGAGAACATAGGCAAAACACTCTCCGACATAAATCACAGCAGGATCCTCTATGACCCACATCCCAGAATATTAGAAACAAAAGCAAAAATAAACAAATGGGACCTAATGAAACTTAAAAGCTTTTGCACAACAAAGGAAACTATAAGCAAGGTGAAAAGACAGCCCTCAGAATGGGAGAAAATAATAACAAACGAAGCAACACACAAAGGATTAATCTCAAAAATATACAAGCAACTCCTCCAGCTCA